ACCCCCTACAAAACAAGGAAAAAGTGGCAAAACCCCTTGTATTTTAGACAATTAAGGGTTTAAAAAATAGAAGAATTTGAAAAAATCGTGCAAAAAAGTGAGGCTGTAGTGGAAAAATGGAGGCAAAAAAAGAAAGGGCACGGAAGAAAATCGCATGGTAAAACACTAGAAGGCGAAATATTCATGCATAATACATCCATCTTTGGGATTTTTATTTAACTTGCACAACTCAAATATCTGCTTACTACTGAAGAAAATGGAGTCATTATTAGCCAAAAAAAATTACTATACAAAAATATAGAAAAAAAACCGCTAACATCTAACATCAGAACAAAAGGAACATAATCGGAAGTTGATATCGTTAATGGTGAGGGTGAAAAATAAGATACGAGAGATCAAGATTTTTAACATTATATCAAATGTCTATCGCAACTTTGATAAGGAGCATAACATAAGATTCAACATTATTACTCGCATTGTAAACCCAAAGCACTTCTTCTAACAGCTTTTTGGTTGCGGGACACTATCTACTTAAGTAATTCTCTTCAAGTTGTTTCTTGGGGTAGTAATAACTGCGAATACAAAATTTGTTCATAGCGAAGTCTCCTTAACTTTACAGTAAGGTTATTGAAATGGGGCTACAGCTATGCATTAGAATTTATTTAGAGGGGAAGTGAAAATTATAAATGAAACGTTAAATAATATTTACTATAATTAAAATTTGTAGATAAAATGACAGTACGTATAGGAATTAATGGGCTGGGTAGAATAGGTCGAAGTGTGTTGCGCGCTATTTTTGAAGTAGAAAGGTACAGTAAGCAAATAGAAGTTGTAGCAGTAAATGGTTCATTAGATGCAAGTTTACATGCGCACCTAATTAAGTATGATTCTATACATGGTAAATTTAATGGTAATGTTGATTTTAGCGATTCCGAAAGTTGGTTATCGATAAATCATAAAAAATTTCCTTTGTACAGAGAGTAAAGTTACTTTGACAGCATTAATCTGCTTACCAGCTCTGCTTATGTGAAGCTTTTGCAAAACTGATGCCTGCAATTTTAAAACGAAACCAATCTTCATCAAACAAGATGATTCTTGATAATCATTGACACTGCCGATATAAAAGAATCAGGATGTGCTATATGATCTCATTAACATTTTTCTCAAAATCTCAAACATTTAAAGTATTTAAAGGATTATATCCTAATAATGTATTCCATATACTTTATTTTACACCTAGTCATTTTAGTAATGGGTCTTTCACTGCATCAGAAAATGCAAAAGTGTGCGCATATAATATACTATCTTATATTGTTACTAATATTGCAGTTAACAGATTGTTGCCAGCTCTTTATTCACGTATAAAAGAAGGCATATGCAAAAAGATAGCATTGATACTGAGATGAGAGAAATCGTTATTGGAAATCATCGAAATAAAATAAGAGTATAATATAGTTATGCAAGATGAGGGCAATCCTCTTGCAAAACATGTATCTAATGAATTGTATCAGCGCCTTCTATACAACATTTAATATGACGTTTTTTGCCAGCAGATAGTTTTATAAATGACTTACTTGTAAAATCTTTATAACTTATAATATAATCAACGTTAAAAACAATGTTGTCGTTAATTTTGCATCCTTTAGCCTGTATAAGGCGCTTTGCTGCATTTTTAGATGATTCCAGTTTTGTTGCGCACAATAGATCTATTAAAGCTATACCATTGATAACTTGCTTTTTGTTTAGAGCATATTCATGCAGTAATGAACTGTCTGCATTTTCAAAAGTAGCAACTGCTGCCGACTTTACACGTTCAGCTTCTTCCTTGCCATGACATATCTTTGTTATTTCTGTCGCTAAAATCTTTTTTGCTTCATTGATTTCTTGATCTTGCAGAGATTCCAATTTTTTAATTTCGCTAATTGGTAGATCTGTAAATAACCTTAGGAAGCTACTAACATCTTGATCATCGACGTTACGAAAATATTGCCAATAATCATATGGCTTTAGCATACTACCATCAAGCCATATAGCTCCACTTTCGGTTTTACCCATTTTTCTTCCTTGAGAATTTAACAAAAGGGTTGTAGTGAAGCCAAAAAGTTCAGGTAAGTTTAGCTTTTTTCCAAGCTCAATTCCATTCACTATATTTCCCCATTGATCAGCGCAATTGTAGATTTATCCGGTACGTATGTTACAGGAGATATATGCAGGGTTGCTGCATGGTACGATAATGAGTGGGCTTTTGCACTCAGAATGTTAGATATAGCACTTATTATATGAAACAGACTTCATTTTTTGAACATTTTGCAGAGCTAAGAAAACGAGTAATTTTTTGTTTTCTGTTTTTTTGTGTTATCTTCGGTTTATGCTATTATTTCAAAGAAAGCATATATCGTTTTTTACTTTCACCTTTAATAGAGGTTACAAAAGATAATGATGACTTTTCTCTCATCTATACAGATCTAACAGAAGCATTTTTTGTATACCTTAAAGTTGCAATTATGAGTGCTTTCTTATTCTCTTCGCCTGTCTTTATATGGCAATTTTATATGTTTTTAGCTCCTGGTTTATATAAAAGTGAAAAAGCAGTTTTATTACCATACTTAATTGCAACACCTGTTTTATTCACAACTGGAGCAACTATAGTCTACTATTACATATTTCCTTTAGCATGGAAGTTTTTTATCACATTTGAAAACAGTGGTAAGTCTTTTGGTATACCGATAGAATTTATGCCATCAGTAAGTGAGTACCTAGATCTTGTAATTCAGTTTATGTTTGCATTCGGCACTGCATTTCAAATCCCAGTTATACTTACATTAATGGTCAGAGTCGGGTTGCTAACTACACAAAGTTTGTCAAATAGACGTAGAATTGCCATAGTGATAATTTTTATTATAGCGGCAATTTTAACTCCTCCTGACGTATTAAGCCAGATAGGACTTGCTATACCAATGCTGATTTTATATGAATTATCAATCCTTATATGTAGATATATTGAAAAGAAGAAAAATACTTAGACAAAAAATTGAAGCTTATAAGCTCAATTTATCTTTCAATTCCTTCTTGATGATGTAATGCTTTACTTAAATTTTGAAGTGAAGACTGTGGAATTTGATGTAAAGAAATAGCCAAACCTAAACATCCAATAGCTGTTATTATAGCACCAAGAGTTACACTAATATAAGCCATTAGCGCTATCCCTGTGAAAATGGCAGATGTAGATAGAGATAGAGCAACACAAAAAAGCCCGCTTGTTCCTCCATTTGATGATCTACGTTTTCTACTATTAAACTGTGTTGTTTGTTCTGCTAATTCTGATGTTCTGTTTATTAATTCTGAAAGTTCCTCTCTATCTCGCCTATTCCATTCCTTAGAATCTTTAACATTTTTCTCAAACTCTGCATTTTTTATCCCATAAGCTTGAGCCTTGCTATGTAACTCGTCTAAAAATACTGTCATAAATTTTCCCTCTTTTAACCTACTAAAGAACATTAACTATTAAAGATGGTTATGTCAATATAGCATAGCCAAAAAGTAATTAGATTTTCCTGCTGCCATTAAGATGATCTTGTTATTTCAAAGAAAATTGGATATCCTTATGCCTTAATATACTTACAAATGAACATGCAAAATAAGC